GGCAGGCCCTATGAGGAGAGGCTGAGGGACCTGAACCTGTTCAGCCTCAGCATATGGAGGCTGAGGGGGGATTTGGTGGCTGCCTACAAACTCATTAGGGGAGATCAGCAGCAAATAAGAAGGGCCCTATTCCCCCAGCAGCACCTGCAGTGACAAGGAACAATGGCCAGAAGCTGCTGGAGAATAGGTTCAGGTTAGAGATTAAGAGGTACTATTTCACTGTTAGGGTGGCTAGGATCTGGAACCAACTTCCTAGGAAAGTGGTCCTCGCTCCTAACTTGGGTAAATTCAAAAAGAGGTTGGATGAACACCTGTCTGGGGTCGTGTGATTCCAGTGTGTGCTCCGGCCAGTGGCGGGAGGTTAGACTAGATAATCTGTTCAGGTCCCTTCTGACCCCAAACTACTATGAAATTATGAAACTGTATTTACTCAAATCTAAGTCAACTCTGGACTTAAGATGACCCCCCAATAATTAGACTCTATATATTAAAAATATTATAAATGTATTATAATTTTCCAGGTGTAGAATCTAATTATTGGACGGCTGTTGTAAATTCACCCCCTGCATTGCTACATCAAAGAAAATAGTGGTCAGGTGGCCACCTTGCCCTCTGTTCTCCCCGCTTTTTCCCCCTACAGCCTTCCTGCCCTCCCTCCCGAGACCCCTGCACCCCATAGCCTCTGTCCCTTTTTCACCACTCCTCACAACCTCTGCCACCTTCCTGTCAGATGTTGCTTGGGCTCTGCTCCCTCCAAGAGCATAGCCCATGGAAGCTCAACCTTTGCTGGGCCATGCACCAGTGCCAGCACAGCTGACTGGCTGGGAAGAGGACAAAATTTCCTTGTGCTTCTTGCCTGAACCAGAGCTCAGCTGCATCTGACAGTAAAGGGGAAGGCGGGGGGCAGAAGCCGTAGAGGGCAAGTGGAATGATGGGAGAAGGGATCAGGTGGCTGCTGTGGGTCTGAGTCTGGCCCCAACCTGGGCTCAGGGCCAGTCAGAGCCAATCAGAGCCACAGAAACCACCTGCTCCCCCCTCTGCTTTGTATGTGAATATAAGATGAGGTTTTTTCCCCTCATGTTGATTAGCAGGGGGACCTCATCTTAGATTTGAGTAAATACAGTATCCATCTTTTTACTTCATCACTGAATGTGTAGTTTCTGTGCCTTATTTTCTGTTCAGCATGGAGTATTAATGTCCTTTAGATCTTTCCTATAGTCCTCATCATTCCAGCACCAAATGCTTTGTGAACCCTAGTGAATGTTATGGCTTCTTTCATATTCCTCTAAATGTTGAGGTGAAATAAACTTTTCAGGCACTACTTGCATGGTTCTATAGGCTTTGTCCTACACACCAGACCAGTTTTGTCCTTGCCCAGCCAGCACTACTTTCATATTATGTTGGAATCACTGTCTCTGGGCAGTGATTTCGCAATACTTTGAACTG